TTTAAATCCTCTCGAGCAGCTTTAGCAAATCTTCCTGCCAGTATATTAGTCCCCTTCCAATTCAAGTGCAAACCGTCCTTCTTATACAGGTCACTTCTACCCCAGAAGACATTCCAATGATCCAGAAATGTGAATCCTTCTCCCCTGCACCAGCTCCTCAGCCACGCACTCATATGCTCTATGCTCCTATTTCTATCCTCACTAGCTCATGGTGTGTGAGTAATCCAGATACTACTACCCCCAATTATCTACGTTTTAAATTCCTGCCTAACTTCCTATATTCTCTCCTCAGCATCTCATCCTTATCTCTTCCAATGTCAAATTAATTTAATTTGCAAGAAATGAGAGTTGTTGCACATATTCCTCTGAGCAAATTTTCATTCAATATGTTTCATGTCACCAATTCATCTTACAAAATAACACAGATTCAAGATGAATGTAGATTGATGCAGCATTTTCAGGAAGGCTATTTGACCTAACATACAGTGCCAGCTCTTTGAAAAATGATAATGTCATTCACCTGCTCACTTCTTGTAGCCTAGTAACTCTTTTTCTTTTATCTAGTATCTATCCAATGTCTTATTGAAAGTTAGAATTGAATCTGTTTCTGCTAATGTTTGAAAGAGCGTATTGCAGATCACAACTGCTGTGTGAAAGAATATTTCCTCATCTTCACACTACTTCTTTTGCAAATCACCTCTCTAGTACTGACCGCCCTGCCACTGGAAACAGTTATATAGTTCATATTTAATTATTTTGTGAACAGTGATAATGGACCGTACAGGGATCTGAACAATAACAAAACAAAGAGGGAACAGTAATGATATTTGGCAGGGCATTTGACTAAGAGGGGAGTGCAGAATATTTTCTGGACTTGACTGAGCTGAAGGATTATATTAGTTTTTTCCAGATTTGAACATGCCTTGGACTTTGTCTTCATGACTGGCAGTGGCTGGCAGTTATCACACTTGAAACAAGAATGCATATTATTCAAGGTGACAGTCTTGCAGGTAGAATAATCAGTTACTATCCTTTTAGTGTTAGCTCCAGAGAACACGTGGAGAGACCTTAGGTGAACAATCAATTCATTAAACTGTAAAAAGCAGCTAATCATTTTGCCATTATTGCTTGCTGCATCCCCCACTACCACAATCCTGGGGTTACCATTAACCAGAAACTTAACAGGATGAAGCATATGGATACTGTGGTTATAAGAGCAGGCCAGAAGCTGGGAAATCCTAAATTAACTTACCTCCTGACTGTATGAAACCAGTCCACCATTTACCAAGCACAAGTCACAAGTGTGGTGGAATACTCTCTACTTGCCTAATTGATGCACAGTTTGGGTTCTGCCAGAGCCACTTGGCTTTGATCCTCATAACAGTCTTGATCTAAAAATGGATAAACAGTTGAATTCAACAGATGAGGTGTAAGTGACTGCCCTTGACAGTAAGGCACTATTTATTTGATTGTGGCATCAAAAAGACACAGCAAAGGTGGTGTCAATGGGAATCAGGAGTAAAACTCTCCAATGGAATTATACCTAGTTCAGGTTCTGAGAAGTTGTTTGTGGTTGTTGGAGGCCAATCATTTAATTTCCTAGGAAATCACTGCAGAGTTTCTCAAGGTAGCTTTAAAATGTGTTATTTCATGGGACCACGGCAATGGCATTTTTATTACATATCCCCAGCTGCCCTCAAGAAATTGGTGATGAGCCATCATCTTAAACAGCAGCAGTCCAAGTGACTTAGTTGCATTCACAGTACCACGAGGGAGTTCGAGGATTTTGACACAATGACAGAACAGCAACATAATTCCAAGCCAAGATGATGTGTGGCTTGGAAGGGAACTTGCTCCCATACATCTACTATTAGTGTTCGTTTAGCAGGTAGAGATCATGGGTTTGAAAGATGCTATCAAAAGCCCAACCACTATAGAACATGTTTTAACAGTCTGTCCAGCTACGACAAGGGTTCATACATTTCAAGGAGATCCCCTCTCATTCTTCTACACCCCAAATAATACAGCCCCAGTCAACCTAATTTCTCATTATATGGCAAACCAGCTATCCCAGACTTATCTGGTGGCAAGTATATCTTTTCTTAGGTAAGACCAAACTGCTTGTAATATTCAAGGTGGGGTCTCATAAAAAGGTCCTGTACAATTGTAGTAAGACTTCCCTGCTTCTGTACTCAAACAACTCTCTTACAATGAAGGCCAATGTATCATTTGTTTTCCTAACTGATTGCTACACTTGCTTAGTTGCTTTCAGTGACTGGTGTATAAGCAAGCGTTCCATATTAGTGAATCTAGCAGCACAGATTGACACTTCTATTCCAAATGGAACAAATAAAAATCATTAACAAAAAGGAACAACTTGAAGGGTTCTGCAAATCAAAGCATAAAAATATATAAGTAACCATTTAGGTAAAATAAAATTCACTGACAACAGGACAAAACTTTCTTGGACATTGGAATAAAACCTTTCAAGAATTGCATATGTGATAAACAGTGAGAAATGACGCCAACATACTGTAAAATAGTTGGGAATGACTGCCATTGTCATCAAAACAGTATTTGATAAAATATGGCATCAAGGTAGCCTGAGCAATACTGGAGTCAATGGGAATCAAAGGAAGATAGCAGCTCACCACCACCTTCTCGAGGACCCCTAGGGATAGGCAACAAATGCTGGTTTAGCCAGCAATGCTTACATTCTGTAAATGAATTTTAAAAAAGTAAACAGGATAGGCAGGCAATTGACGATGGAATTTATTCAGAAGGGTGAAGTGATGTATTCTGTCAGAAAGGATAGGGAGAGCAAATATAGACTTAATGGAGGATGTAAAGCAGTCTCCCCCAGATCACATCACATTTAAATGATACTTGAGACCAATTTTGATTCCAATGCAGCAATCTCTGCCAATGTCTAGTTTGCTCTCAATCCTTAACCCAGGCTTTAGAAACATGAAACAAAATTACACGCAACTTTAAAAAAGGAAGAGTGAAATAACCTAAATTATTAATGCCGCAACAGAACTGCAACAGGAAGCAAGCATTTCAACATGAAAGCGGGATCCTGAGCAGTTCACTAGGAATTGATTGAATCTGTTGATTCTTAACAGAGAATGTGTCTAAAACAATTGGCTGAGCATATCTAGATACAATGGTTCTGCATTAGAACAGAGATTCTGCTCTAACAGTTCAATTCTTATATTTGGGGATTGACCCCTCTATGAAACCACGAGCATACAAGGGTAAAAAAGAAACTTCATTCAAAATATCACTAAGAGACTTGCACAAGAATTATAGGGAGATTGTGGCACTGCAGCAGTGTCACGACTAGTATTCCAAAGGACCAGGTTAATGTCCTAGATACGAGTTCAAATCCAACTAAAGCTGCTGATGGAATATAAAGCTAACCTCAGCTATGGTGACCACAAAATCAATAAGCATTGTAGAAATCTATTAGGCTTACCTTCTACCCCACCAAGACACACACATTTAAGCTAGGAAATCAGCTACCTTTACCCAGTCTGACCTGCATTTGACTGCAAAACCACAGCAACATGGTTGATTCTCAGGAGCTTTTGAAATAGTTTAGCAGACCAAGAACAATTAGGGATGTCCACCAACTGCTGGCTTTGCCAGTTGGTGGACATCCCTAATTGCTAAAGAATAAAGGAAGAACAAGAGTCACTCGTACGGTCTGTTGAGCCGGCTCTGCCATTCATTACAATCATAGTTGATCTTGGGCTTCAACTTCATTTTCATACCTGCACCTCATATCCCTTGATTCCGCAATAAACCAAAAATCTAACCACCCAGCCTTAAACACATTGAATGATGGAACATCCACAGCTTAGAGATGGAGAATTCCAGAGAATCAGAACCCTTTGAGTGAAGTAATTTCTCACCATCTCAGTCCAAAAAATTCAACCCCTTTTCCTAAGATGGTATCCCTGCATTTTAGAATGCAGTACTGCATGACAATTGAAATGACTATTACGCAGACCAACACAACAATATACTCTGAACACTTGTTAAGTTTAGCAGCTGGCCTGCAATCTACAGGATTAACTTCTTGCCTGTGTCTTTTTACAGCATACAGATCATGAATCATTTCGTTAAATTTAATAACTGGCTTACAAGCTATAGAACATACTTCTTGCCTATGTTTCTCTTTCCAGCCCTGTTGTTGCCATGCCCAAGGCAATGTCCAGTCAGTCCATCAGACTGAAAGAAAGCAGAAAGCACTGGCCAGAGACTTTTTCCTAGGGTGGAGGTAGCTATTACGAGGGGGCATAGTTTTAAAGTGAGTGGAGGTAGATATACGGGAGACATCAGAGGTAGGTTCTTTACTCAGAGAGTGGTCGGGGCGTAGAATGCATTGCTGGAGAGAGTAGTGGAGTAGGCCTCATTAGGGGCATTTAAGCAGCTATTAGATAGGCATATGGATGATACTACAAGGTAGGGGTGGAGGTTAGATAGAATTTAGGATTAGGGTAAAAGTTTGGCACAACAGAGTGGGCCAAAGGGCCTGTACTGTGCTGTACTGTTCTATGTTCTAATGCCTGTGGAATAGCTTCCAGCAATAATGAGCAAAGAGCTATACTGTTACTGAGGATATCAGTTGTTGTATCTTCATCCTTCACTTTATACCTAGGTGATGTACCTTACTGAAATTCTTCTAAAATTTAACATAGGTTTCTGATAGTTAAATTTTTGCTAAAAGTATCTATAGACAGCCAATATCAGACACAGATCAAAGTATCAACGCAATGTGATTCTTGCTGTGAATTCTTTGAAAGAGGGGATTGGTGACCAAAATCTTAGTCTAAAACATAGAAAGATCCTCAGTGACACAGAAATTTATCACGCTTCTCAGAAATGCCTCAGAGTGCTCATGCATTAAATTACTTGGTTGGAGTGCACTGACTTCACTTATATGAGCAAATAATACAGAGAAAATGAAAAGAAGACTAGTGCAAAACATATTTTTTAAATAATTTGTCGTCTAAGGTATATTTTAAGTGTAAATTTAAATTAATAAATTTCTTTCAACAGCTTTTATATTTTCAAAGCAAAAATCTTTGTAATCAGACCACTAAAATTGCACAAATATATTAAATAGTTATAAGACATCAGAATTAATATTGCACAATTAAATGCTGTCATGGCAGAGGTAATCAAAACTAAAACTTGGTAATAACACTACTAAATAGTTTCAAAACAATGTTTCAACAAAGCAGGAAGATATTGGCATGAGTCTCATTTTGAATTTCAAAGTTTCAGAAAGGATTATGCAACTTCTGATGCTCATGTAGTTTACATTGACTTCCTTGTTTGCATTCATTACATTTTGAATTAGAAATGCACAGGTTAGTTAGAAGTGCTGCAGAAATCCAAGACTGAATGATTAATATACAGAACTGCAGATTCTTAGCATTGTCTGATTGGCAATTTACAGGAATGCAGATTCCCAGTGTTGCGATTGTTAAAGTACAGAACAGTAAATTCTCAGTACAATTATTAGTCTACAGTACTGCAGATTCCCAGAACTGTTTGATTGAAGTCTTCTGGTTGATCAGCATACACATAATGGCCTGCACCTCGAATTGCCTATAAAGCAAAAGGAATGACAAACGTGTTAATGCTGACAAAATATATTGAATTATTTCTAGTTTTGATATTTAATGCAACTTTACATCAAAGTTGTTACATTTTATGAAGCTTTCAGCGTGCCCATTTGTCCTATGAGATTTTTAAGTTTTTGTAGTATGCCAGATCAACAGTCAGCAAGGCCTATTTGTCAACTGCTTTTAAACAATAGATTGGTTTATTCCTCTATAAGACTATACTTCAGACCTCAAAAGAAACAAAACATCCAGAAGCCTTTATTCAAAATATGAAAACCAAATGATCTAACAAACAAATACAGTCACATATTTAAAGGACATTTTTCCTCACTCCCTGAATTGATAAAATGAAAGAAACAAACTAAACTTTTGTAGATAACTTTCAAAAGCAGGTAGTACTTTTCCTTTCTTCTAGAAATATCAACCTATCTTTTCATGATATTGGAAAAAAAAAGTGTCCTGATTCCCTCGTAATTTTTAAATAGTATTCTCATCAGATTATCTATTTGCTATTGAAAAAAAATTGCATTTCTATAATATCTTTCACAACTTCATGAAGTTCTAAACCACTTTACCGTGAACAAAGAAATTTTTGAATTGTAATGTAGCAAGCATGCAGTTACTGCACACAGCAAACTTCCACTGTACTCTGGGATAACTCCTAGGGTTAAAAAAAGACTCAAGGATTCAGACTGGAGTCTTTGAACAAAGTGAATTTTAGAACTAACAGATGATTCTACTTCATAGCCAATGCTAAAATGGTTAAATCACCAAGGTCACTTCAGTAGGCAGTTATGTTTTCTAAAGATAAGACATGTATCAAAGACTTCTCAAGGAAGACTGTCTGTAATGAAAACTATCATGCATGGTCATAGAAAAGAAGGACTTCATTACAGTCTAACAAATCTACGAGTACTGTAAATTGTAAAACATCAAACAATCAGCTGACCTCAGGTGGGTGATTAGCATGTAACCAGAGGTTTCTAATATGCATCTGTTCAAATTAATAATACTTAAAGAAAAATGAATTATTATGATAATTTGGTGATTTGAACATTTTAGTTCCAGCAATTAATTAGAATAATCTGCCAATTCCAAATGTAATTTTGTTCAAAGACTAGTTTGAACTTCTTGGGCCTTGATTTAACCCCATGGGTTTTCCAAGAATTATGAATAATTGCTAGGTTTTTCACTGAAAGGAAGACATATTGTCAAAGATTTTTATCTTGCTCTCATCAGGACAAATGCAAGAATTCCAAATTTCACACAATCATAACATTTATATTACATGAATAAAGAACGGTAATTCGTTGACAAATAAACTCTAATTGGTCAAGGTATTGCCATGAAGAAAGAAAAAGAAACTATAGGTTCCCAAGCCACTGGGTAATTTAAAAAAAAAGTAAAAAGCCTTGAGAATGGGTCCCTGCATCTTTTAAAGTATATATTTCTTTTATATGTTTGTACATAATGTAGACAAGAACCTAAGAAATAAGAGCAAGAATAGGCCTTCAAGCCTACAAGCTTGCTCAGCCAATCTATAGAATAAAGTCAATCTGCTTTAAGCTCCAACTTCACTTTAGTCACCTAACAAAAAGATCAGAAAATGGATCTCACTTGGTCAAATTAAAATGTAATTACAAACTGGCTTTCAAATCCCCAAAAAAAGTTGAGACAGAAATCAAAGTTACAATAAAGAGAAGCTAGATGAGATCACAAGAGCTCTGGTAAAGTTCACATTAGCCTATGAAGGGGGTTTTGTACGTGAAAAAAGACCAAGAATGAAACTCCAAAACATTTTAGTAGTTTATTCAAATGTTCATTGCTTATATGTGAGCATGACAAAGTCTCAGAGCAGAAGGACTGAAGTTAATTCCTCATGTGTGAATATGAAGGGAGAGACGAGATGAATGGATCAGAGAATTGGGTGCAGAGGTCAGTCCTTCTGCTAAAGAAATCAAGCAAATAGGCATGGAAGTTCAACATGGTAATTTTCCAGGCTTTTTTCTGACAGAGTCAAACCACTCAGAGTTCTGCAGAACAAAGCAAAAACAAAAAAGACAAATGGGTAGTTTTAAAAAAATCTACTTTGACATAAATCCCATGTAATTCCCACTCTTTGGGTGTCTAGCTGTCAAGAACACTGGGATATGGCATGCTGGACATAGCACCCAAAGCTGTAATGTATTTCAATTGGGAACTTCTTGTACTGGCCCTCTCCTATCCCACAAATTACCACAAAATAGAGGTCAGCAGCAAATTCCACAGGTCCCTTCACTTTTCCATTCTCGATGAACTGTGTACAGGCCTTATGGGTTCTCAAAACTGACATCTGAGAGCGAAGATCTTGAAATATAGAATTCATTACTTACTATTATGTTGACAGAGGATGTTGGTCTTAGTGCTTTGATCTGTTTTCCAGAGTAGCCATCTATGCAAGAGCGTGCTCCATAAATTGCTGTGATGGAGATGTGCTCTTGTATCTGATTGATCCGCAATAGCATTGGTTGTTTGGCCCAGCCGTAAGGTATAGTCATGTTCTTGAAAGCAACTTCACCACTAAAAACATGGGGAAAATTGAAACTTGATAGGAAACACCTAAATTTTCTTTCCATTCTCACATAACTCCTGTTCAACTGGGGTGGATTGAAAAGTCTGCAATACTTTGTAATAGCCATCAGGTATTGACTATGGAGAGGAATTTGAATAGCTTGTTAAAGTTATACCATTTCTGAGATGGAACAATTCAATGACAGCTGTAACAGTTCACTTAGTACGTGAAGGAAAGAACTGTCAAAATTTAACCCAGTGCTTCCCAAATCTTTTCCCTATATGTCCCAATTTTAATTCTTCGGTCTGTTTTTGCACCCCAAAATGAATGCTGGGGATAGGTCAATGGTTAGAGAGTTGTTTGTCAGAGGGGTTGAGACTTGTTTAGAAACTGCAATATATTCTAATAATAGAACAACAAATTTTGAGTAATTTGTCCAGGATGAGAATGGCCAGCCAGACGACAAATTCTTAGTGACATCTTCAATTCCCTGGAAACTCAGGACAACAATGAATTTAAATGCAGAGGAGATGGCAAAAAGAAACTGGTTATTGATGGAAGCACAGTTGTGGAGTGGGCTGTGGATGAAAGAGGGTGAAAAACACAGTGATGAGGAAGCAATCATTCCATGCAAATATGGATGAGTAATTAAAGACACAGCTCTCAAAATGATCCAATTCAGGTCGTTGAAACAACAAATGGTGTCATGAGCTCCCCTCCCCTACACCAGCATGAAGGCAGTATCTGGAGTTGGCCTTGTCCAGATCATCTCTCGGTCCCTTCCTCCCCACCCGCCCATGTCATATCATACAATCTGCACTTTACTGCTGCATTATTGAAGTGGAATGAGCTTGTTGTAGAGAAAAACACAATTTTATTCCATTTAAGTATTCTATTGGATCCTATGGGAAACTGATTACATTGTGTGTATGTATTTGTGTTGGTGGGGGGAGAGCACAAAGGGATTGGTGCTGTTTTAGTGCAGTTCCGGTTTTGCAACAGGGGGGCGCCGTCACATTAGTTTCAAGAGTTAAAATAGTTTCACATTGGAAACTAATTTGGCAAGCACTGATTTAAAGGTTTATTTGTACTACACCAACTTTATGATTTCCCAGGAATAAAACCTATCTGAGCCTTTATATTTAATAACTAATGAAAGATGCAGTTTTCATGATCCAAACAAAGCTCAGTGCAAATCATAAATTCCTGACTACTTTATTTCTTGAATATTGTAGTTTTAGCTTTTTGTCAGCACAACCAAAACCAATCTCATATTTATTGATGTTTCATTTAAACTCAATTTACTCTGTAAAGGGGTTTACTTTTCACTGCCAGAGCAGTTCAGAATTGTAGAATGGTTACAGTTAGAAAAACAGACCATTCTGCCTGTCATGTACATTTGTCAGTGCACAGAACCACTCACTCAGTGCTACGCCCTTCCTCTTTTGTTATAGCTGTAATCTTTGCTCTTCAGATAATAATCTAATTGTTTTCTGAAATCTACAATTGAATCTGCCTCCACTACATTGTAAGGCACTGCATTCCAGATCCTAACTACTTGTAGCATAAAAAAAGTTTTGCCTCATGTCATCGTTGATTCTTTTGCTAATTAATAAAATCAGTGTCAAATGCTTCTGGACTCCTTTTCCACACTACACCCCCCCAAAGAAAGGGAACAGTTTCTCCTGATCTACTCTGCCCAAATCCCTCATGATCTTAAGCAACTCTATCAAATTTCCTCTCAATCTTCTTTTCTAAAGGACAGCGATTCCAAATTTTCCCATTTATAAATACAACTGTCATTACTGTCATTTATGGTTCAGCTCAAAACATATGCCATAAAGATCAAGGAAACAATTATGCTGGAGGAAAAAAAATGGACTAAAACATCTAGCACTGACGACTCTATGTTTACCTGGGAGTTTGTGCATTGCAGTGATAAATATACTCGGTGACAGTATTTTCATCTTCGCAAACCGAGGAGAACTTTTGTTTGAAGTCTGGCCTTAATCGTTGAACCAGAATCGGACCTGTGATAAATTAAGAAACATTTCACCACTGACAGATCTTTGTTGTTAAGGAGTATACAGATATGAAGCAAAGGCAGGTAAGTAGATTTGAAATACAGATCAATCATGAATTAAATACAGGAACAGGGTTAAAGGGCTGAATGGCCTCTTTTTGTTTTGATATAATGCTTCCCAAGGAGGTTGGATCTTTGATAAGGAGAGTCAGATACAGTCAGTGAAACAAACAACTCTGGAGGGTCAAAGGGCTTCTTTCTCAATCCTTAAGTTGTTATTTAGATAAAGCCACAATCTGGAAACAGCAGAATAAAATAACTTAACATTATAGAATGTGGCATCTATTGCAGCAACACATTTTCTGAGAGAATAACTTCCAGTATGAAAGTTAGAAAATGTTTACTTGCATTCAGATACGTGTTCTTGTTAATTACTCCTGTAACATTGTGCACCAATGCTAGTGTACAGCTGAGAGTGAATTTTCTGTTGTGAAATAGGATCAACATACAATATTCTTTCTTACCAAAGGGTCCAGCCAGTCGAAGGCCTGCCAATGGGTTGAAGGGACTCAGGATTGCACCTAGGGCTTTTATCCAGATTGGCATTGGTCGCTCCTGTTCTGTGTGGTTAAGTCGCTCTGGAAATCCCCATGGCTCAACCAAAATGAGGTGCTTTACCCTAAACAAAACAGATGCATTCACTGTTATATGTTTCTACAATAGCCACTTACACATCTGTTTAACTTAAGATATTGGGTGTGATATCCCTGATTAAAGACTTGCATTTCTAGTGTGCCTTTCACAAGGAGAGACGGTTGCCTAGCAGTACTGTCGCTGAATCAGCAATCTAAAGATCCAGGTAAATGCTTTGGAGACATGGGTTCAAGTTCCACCTTGACAGATAGTAGAATTTCACTTCAGTTAACAAACCTGGAATTGAAAGCTGGTCTCAGTAATGTTGGCATCAAACTATCATTGATTGTGTAAAAGCCTATCTAATTCAATAATGTTCCTTAGAGAAAGAACTTTGCCTTTCTTACCCAATCATGCCTACATGTAACTCCAGATGCACAGTAATGTGGCTGAGTTTTACTGCCGTCTGAAATGGTCTAGTAAGCCACTCAATTCAGGGAAATTAAGGATAGGTCAGGAACATTCACATCCCATTAAAGAATAAAGCAGTTTACAGCACTGAATTGATTTTTGAAGTGTTGTCACTGTTATAACGCAGGAGACATGGCAGTCAGTTTGCACACAGAAAGATCCCAGATTCAATGAGAAAGCGACCAGTTAACTTTAGTAATGTCATTTGGGGATACATATTGGCCCAGGTCAGTGGGAAGAACTACTATGCTGTTATCCAAAGTAATTCCATGTGATATTCTATAATCACCTGATTGGATTTTAAACCAAGGTCCTATCTGCTCTATCTGAATGATGGCACTTCCAACAGTGCAACACTCCCTCTGTACTCCACTAGATTGTCATCTTGGATTTTGTGTTCAAGTCTCTAGAAGAGGAGTGTCTTGAGTCCATGACCTTCCCACTCAGAAACAAGACTGTTGCCTGCTGATCTACAGCTATCCAAAGGTAGAAAAGTGGCTTATAAAGCACCTCTTCAATGCCTCTAAAGTAGCAGTGTGAAAATTCAGAAGAAATAATCCCACAAATGCAGAATGGAAGGAACAGAAAGAACTGAATGAGGAAGTTGAACAAAATAAAACAACAATTGATAAAATGATAAATGCCTTTTCTAAGTGTTCAAAGTAAATTGCATCAGGTCATTTCAATTCAGCTGTATTATCTGAAGCTGAACTTTGAAATACAGGTTTTATCACAGTACTGAAAACATGATTAGAAACTGCTAGATAAATAGATATAGGTTCAAATCTATAACATCTGCAAGTACAATGTGAAATTTCAGCTTTGTTATGCTTGCTTCAACTGAGCAACACCCAAGAACCAAGACAGGAAAGGGGGTGAGAGACTCAGAATACAGGGTGAGAGGAACATGCAGAAAATAAGATGAGAAACATAAGGTGCTGGGTGAAACACAAAGAGAAACAGAACAATACATTAGTAAAACAGAAACGGAATGGGAAAGAGACACAAAAACAGAGAAAAACAGATAAGAAAGAGGAAGAGAGGAAAACAGTACGATAGGGAGATACAGAAATAAAACAAAAATAGGGATTAACATGAAACAAAACATGGAACAAGGAGAAAAATGAGAAACACCAAAGAAAGGGACTACATTAAGAGAGTGAAAGCTCTATTGATGGTATAAGAATTGGTCTTTAAAATCTGGGGCTAATTTAACTTATCCTGCCAGTGAGGAACAAAATGCCATTGGGTACATTTTTGAATTTACAGCTTGCCAAGTTTTACTTTCGTTTCAAATCGACAAGTAATATGGGCAGGTGTAAAATCCATCTGATATGAGTTTCCCACCTTAGATTAAAATTCCCGCTGCAGTCTCATCAGAACCTCTCTCAGCCATAAACTAGGATTTCCTAACCTGCCCACCATTTTCTTTAATTGAAGTGACTTTATGGTAGTTTGGATGAACGAGCAAGAACATGTTTTCTCTTTCTTCCTTGCACTTATGTCATTTTCTTTCAATAGAAGTACACAAGGATACCAAATGCTACAAGCAGTTTGAGAAATGCTATCCATGATTTAACCGGTTGAACTTGTATTTCTTGCTGATGTGTCACCGGTGTTACCTCATCAGTATATCATTACTGACTATCTGTAGTGTAACTTGGGCAATAATCAACTGATGGGGAGATGGTGGCATAGTGGTAATGTTACTGGACTAATAATCCAGAGCGGTCCAAGTTAATGTTCTGAGGACATGGCATGGCAGCTGGTGGAAATTAAATTCAAAGAATCTGGAGTATACAAATAGTTTCAATGATGGTGATCATGCTGACCCTTAGGGATGATGGTTAAAAACCCATCAGTTTTGTTAATATAGAGAAGGAATTCTGTCATTCTTGCCCAGTCTGACTTACAAGTGATTCCAAATCCATAACAACATGGTTAATTCTTAACTGTCCTCTGAAATGACAGGCCACTTAGTTCAAGCGCAATCAGGAATTGGTAACAAATGCCAGCCTTGTGAGAGACACCCACATCCCATAAAAGAATAAAATCAGCACTGCTCAGAAATCATCGCATCATTCCACCAAACAGGATTGTTTTGGTCACGACATTTTCTGCCCTCTGTATGATTCTTGAATGTGATGGACATTTCTCTGTTGTTAATGTGACCCCATCAAATAAAAATCTATCTCCATTTTGAAAGCTCCAGCTACCCTTCCAACTACAGTCTATTGGGATGGAGAGATTCCAGATTTCTATAACAGTGTATGTAAAAGTGTTTCCTGATTTGACTCCTCTAATTTTAAGAGTGTAAAGTAGAAACAGTGCAGAGACAGAAGGTGATGATCTTTGTACTGGATAAGATGTGGGACTTAATGGCTAGCTTGGGGTTGAGCAAGGAATTAATACTGCAATTAGTCAAACACTTCAAAAGGAGTGAGGAAGGGATGAAGTGAATGTAGAGGGGAGCAGAATTTTTGGTGAAGAATGAGAGAAGAAGAATTAATCACTAGGGAGAGGCAGGACTAATATTTGTAATACTATTTACCTAATACTTTATAAACTTAACATGTAAGTAATTTCCTTGTTCCTTCCCTTCAACTCTCATTCTTCGTTATTTACACTATAAAATTTCTGATTGATTTATTTCCTATATGGAAGGGAAGATTAAGTTAACATGCAAATAAGGACTTGTCTATTCTTGCTTCCTTCCTGTTTATGTCTCACCTTTTCTAGATATTTGCCATGATAATATGAGGTATGGTCCTTCATTTCTCACAACGGACTTATAGTTCCCTCTGAAGCTGTCACGGGCCAGAACATTTAACTAATCGTATCCACATCCTAAACAACAGCTTTGTTATTTAGAAGTTAATTTTATAAAACAGCTGAAAGTTTGTTTTATTTTTCTTCTTAATGTGCTTTTTCTATCCCTCACAATTATAAGTTGTCATTTTGAGTTTCAATTCCTGGTTTGACTCTCATTCTTCAACAGGTTTGTCAGGTTATCAACAGCTGGAGCTCCAATGTTGGAGCCGCACAAATTGGTTGGAAAAATGCATCCGAATAATAAACATTGAAAGCACAATATGAATAATACTGATCAAGAATGATGGAGGATCTACAGCCCACTAGCTGAGTCTAGACAGGAATCTACAGCCCACACCTTGACAGAAGTTACGTTTTATGTGCAGAAATGTCAAAGAAATTGTTAGACTTTTTTCAATGGTGACGATAACTAGCAACTACTGATTTATCAAAACTGCTTACCAAAACCCTCCAAATTTGCACCTTCCTCCTAATTCTTCAAAACTGTTATTCATACAAAATGTTTTCTACCTACCTTTGTGGATATTTAATTGTGTATGATGCAGCCAAATAAGCTCCAAGATTATGTCCCAACAAAATCATTTCCTCTGTTCCCACTGTAGCTCTCCATTCCTCTATAGACTCCACAAATTGTGTTTCTGCCAGTATTGAATCAGAGCTGAAATGAGGTCTACTACTTTGACCAAAACCTATGAGGTCAAAAGCATATACAGTGCGTTGTAGGCTAAGTGCATCAAAGTTCAAAGTCCAAAGTCCAACTCCCCCTCCAAATCCATGAATCAGAACAAGTGGAGTTTTGTTATGAGTGTCCTGATTGAATATTAGTGTCCATATCTTGTTGCCACTTGATAGCGTAATATATTTTTTCGTAAATTTACTTCTGACACCTGCAAAATGTAAAGTAGTTAAAATCAATCAGATTTGCATTTTCTCTTTCTGAACTTAACAAATTAGTCAAACAATAAACTGATGAATCAGCAATCTAACTTGGATTTTAAGGATTCAGGTTGACTGAATTGGACCTGCCTTATAAATACTGTGAGTAAGCAGCAGCTTACAGCCTAAGAATCCTGCAGTGAATAACTCACCTCCTGGCTCCCCAAAGCCTGTCAACAAGGCACAGGTCAGGGGTGTGATGTAATAGTCTCCTTTTGCCTGGATGACTGCAGTTCCAACAACACTTGAGAAGTTCATCACTATTCAGGGCAAAGTTTGTTTGGCACTCCATCCACCACTTTCAATATTCACTCACTTTATCACCAATGCAAAGTGGCAGCAGTGTGTATGTCTATAAAATACACTACAGGAACCTTACAAGATTTCTTTTACAGCAAACCACCTAGAAGCATAGGGCACAAGACATAAACCATCCCAACTTGGAACTATATTACTATTCCTTCACTGTCATAGGTCCCCTCTAACAACACTGTGGATGTATCCATATAAGCAGCAACAATTCAAGAAGGCAGCTCTATCAATCTCAATCTTGAACATACTCAATGACTGAGCATCCCTAGATCTCTACTACAATTCCAAAGACTCACAATCTTCCTCATCTCAGTCCTAAACGGTCAACCCTTATCCTGAGACAGTGACTCCCAGTTCTAAACTCTCCAGTCAAAGCAAACAACCTTGCAGCAACTGTGTCCAGCTTCCTACCTCTACCCCAAGGTCATCTTTCTTGTAAAATCCAGAGAAATATAGACCCATTCTGTTCAACAGGTTAGATTGTAATGATAACATTTGGATGCCATACTAGAAGAGAACGTGACGTTTAATTCACTAAACAATCTGTCCTCCTCCTATATTTTTTCAAAACAAAAATCTATTTAAATACATTTTTCAGTATAGGCAAAACTGGAAGGATTACAGCAGAGACAAACAAGGTAGGGGACTGTTTTCAGTAGAGAGGTTGGAACAGATTAGTTCCTCAACTGACACAGTGTACCCTGGTTTTTGATGGAACTCCACAATGTGAGAAAGCATTCTGCTGAGTCCAGAAATAACTTCAATACAACCATTATATTGTCTCTCTCCACTACTTAACTGTTGCCAATTATTTTGCATAGACATTTCCCTTGTTTCAGTACAGTAATTATCAACCATCAATGGGTCCATCTTTTGAAGTAGATAAATCGCTTCTCCCTTACTTTCTACTAAGCGTCCATTTGTGTTGAGACACCTTAATTAATTCTGCATTGATGACTTTCTGGCACTGGCATTCCAAATCCCTCTAACTTCTTATACAATGAAAGGTTACTGGATTCACCGCTAACCATCTTAACTCAAATTTTAAAACTATATCTGTCGCTTGTAAGTTCCGAGTGGAGACAGTAATTTCTCATCTACCTCAGTCCATATTTTTTTGAAAGGTTGATCACATTACTTTTAACCTCCCCTCTAGCAGGAAATTAACCCAGGTTTAATCAACCCCTCACCACAGGTCGGTCTCTTTGTCCCAAGTAACACCCTGGTAAATGCATGCTCAACAATCTCCCCAGGCACTATATCCAGCCTAAGGTTAGATGCCCAAAGCAAACAATCTCCTTCTCAAGCAGCCCCTGGAGACTAAAGATGATTTTCTTCCACTCTGCAGTTGTGAGTCCTAAGGTGGCTGAACAAACCAACAATGGTTCTCAACTCCCTGTCACAGGTAGGCCAGGTGGTGTTTGAAGAGGTGGGTGGAAGGATTACACACCTTCTGCTGTTTACACTTGGCCTCCAACTGTGCCTGTCAGTGATGCCCGAGATGGTTAGCACCTTCATGGATGCTTCTTCTCCAGCTTGGGTGGTCTTCAGTAAGAGATTACATGAAAAGATAGGGATATTGCATCTTTTCAGGGAGGCTTTGAGGACCCCCTTGAAGTGTTTTCTCCTGCCCGCCTGGTAACCACTTGCTGCAATGGAGATCAGGGTAGAAAGTTTGTTTTGGAAGTCTCGAGTCAGGCATTATTTTTTATAAATTCATTAATGGGATGTAGGCATTACTGATCAGCATTCACTGCCCAACCGTAATTGCCTGCAGGCAGTCAACCACATTGCTGTGAATCTGGAGTCACGTAGAGGACAGACCAGGTAAAAACAGCAGATTTCCTTCTCTTAAGGAGGGATTCAGGTGAGGTTTTACAACAATCAACAGTGAATACATGGTCACCATTAGATTAATCAATTTTCACTATCTGTCAATGTGGGATTCGAACCCATGTCCCCAGAACATTAGCCTGGTGTTCTAGATTACTGATCCAATGACATTACCAATCCTGCCCCACCTCCAACAGACCCCCTCCAAAACACACACATTCTCCCTATCTCCACGCCCTCTTCACCTCACCCCTGATATAGATGATTTGGCCTGCCCAACACACTGTGAAGCAAACTTGGACAGTTAAAGCAATGAAGGATGGGACAGCAGGTTCAGAGTCAGGATCAATGAAGAGAGAGTTAGAGTCAATCAGTTAAAGCAGGAGTAGAAAGAGAAGTAGCTTTTTTATATTCATTCATGGGATGAGGGTGTCGTCATCTAGGCCAGCATTTATTACCCACCCCTAATTGCCCAGAGGGCATTAAGAGTCAACCACATTACTGTGGGTTTGGAGTCACATGTAGGCCAGACCAGTTAAGGATGGCAGAGATAGCCATACTGGAGTCTGAGATGCTGGAGTCTGAGATAACACAGTGTGGAGCTGGAGGAACACAGCAGACCAGGCAGCATCAAGGATGGCAGTTTCCTTCTCTGAAGGATATTAATGAACCAGATGAGTTCATCAAGGATAAAAAGTAGCATTGGTACTGCTTAGATCTGCTTAGCTATTTGGACACATGAAGCCTGCTGGTCTGGCTGCAATGAGTCTTTGCTGATCTTATAGGGACTATTAATTTAGAGAATAATCTCAACTTTGAAATCAACTGACAAGTAAGCAGGAGCTAAATACAATACAATTTATGCCTTTTATTTTTCCTTTGCTTGTTTTGTTTGTTTTCTTTCAGTCAGTGGCACACCGATTCGGGGCAGATATTTTGGTTCCTTGTTTCTTTTCTTCCCACATCATCATTCTCTTTGGTTCTGGAAGACTAACTTCTGTCATTTAATCTTTTCTCTCTTTCATCCTAACACAGACCTTCCTTTTGATCTTGTTCCATCCACTAGTTACTCAAAATCCTATTATATTTCTAACTTCCTCCCCTTTTGATCAAAGGTAACAGATCTGAAACAATAATTCTGTATCTCTCTCCACAGATCCTGCCCTAACTACTGATTACTTCCAGCACTTTGTTTTAATTTCTGATTTCCACTGTCCATATACTATGCATTACAAGGACCAGCACTCTGTAAATGCAGCCACCGTTTTATATTCTAAATCAGGACTTAGCAAAATCTATGAAGAATGTTCAATAGACAGAAAAGCTAAATAATCTCTCCTTACCCTGTAACATTTTATCCTCAGCATCCTTGAGAAGAGACAAAGATGTGGGACACCAAGTAGGCAGCCAACTGAGAAGCCATCCTAACCTATCAAGAGAAAAGGGTTAAACATTGAGAAATGTGTCTTATCACAGATGCAACACCAGTTCTGTGAGATAAAAATCACTTGTCAAAATGTTTCTCAAGAATGCAATTATTTCACTATTGTGCCTCACATGATGGATATAGTGTGGAAATTCAGCCTGACTGGTGTGTTGCTGTCCAGTATATAGAATGGACATGTAGTTTCACTCTGGGCTACAACCATCTGGTATAAAGCCTAGATATGCAGTCTCACTATGGACTGTGACTGTCTGGATTACAGATGGATATTCGATGTCACTCTGTCTATGACTGTCCAGTGTAGAATGGATATTTAGTCTCCTTCTGGGCTATGAATGTCAGGTTTCTTAAGTGGAAATTCAGTCCAACTCTAGTCTATGATGGTCCGGTTTCTCGAGGGCACATTCAGCCTCCCAAGTGGTATCATAGCCTAGTTCTCAAGTGGTCTATTGCTGTCTGATTTCTAGAGTATCACAGTCCAGTTTGCAGTGGACATTGATCTCTCTTTGGGTACTACTGTCCAGTGTATAGAATGAATGTTCAGTCTCTCTGGGGTATTGCTTTCTGCTATGAAATGGACATTCAGTTTCTGTGCATATCACAATCCGGTATATGATATTCAGTCTCTGTGGGGTATCACTGTCTAGTTTACAGCAGACATTCAGTCTCTCTGGGTATTGCTATCCGGTCTATAGAACGGACATTCAGTCTCTCTAGGGTATCACCTTCTGGCAGGCAGCGGGCATTCACTCTCTCCGGGGTAACGGTGTCCACTATATAATAGACATTCGCTCTCCCTGGAGTACCACTGTCCAATTTATGGTGGACATTTACACACACTGGGGTATCACTGTCTGGTATATAATGCACATTCAGTTTCTCTAGGGTATTGCTGTCTGGTACACAGTGGACATTTAATCTCCCTGGGGTGTGACTGTCCAATATATACCTGACATTCACTGTCCTGGGGTATCGCTGTCCAGGATATGGTGGACATTCACTCTTACTAAATTATCACTGTCCAGGATATAATAAACAGTCACTCTCTTTCTGGGGTATCACTGTCCAGGTTGTAATAAACACTTGCTCTCTTTCTGGGGTATCACCGTCCAGGTTGTAATAAATGTCAAGCTTTTACTTATTGACTACAGCTCTGCCTTCAATACTATAATCCCAGTGAAACTAATCTCCAAACTCCGAGACCTAGACCTCTGCTCCATCCTCTGCAACTGGATCTTTGACTTCCTGACCTACAAACCATAACCAGTGAAGATTGGCAACAGGATGGGCACCCCACAAGGATGTGTACTTAGCCCCCACTGTACTCCCTGTACACTATTGACTGTATAGTGAAATTTTGTCCAAACTCCATTTGCAAATTCACTGATGGCACCAGCGTTGTAGGCCAGATATCAAACAATGACAATACAAAATAAAGAAGAGATAGAATGCTTGGTGACATGGTGCAAAGACAACAATCTTTCCATCAATGTTAACAAAACTAAACAGATGACCATTGACTTCAAGAAGCAAGGAGGAAGACAGGCCCCATCTACTCCCCATCTGAGCGTCAGGTTCCCAATAGTGATGATCACCAATCTGTCCTGGACCACCCATGCTGATGCGACGGTCAAGAAGGCACAACAGGAAGCTAGGGAAATTTGGCATGTCCATAAGAACCCTCACCAAATTTTACAGATACAGCACAGAAAGCATTCTATCTGGATACATCATGGCTTGGTATGGCAACTGCTCTGCCCAGGATCATCATAAACTACAGAAGGTCGTAAACACAGCACAGACCATCACACAAGCCAAACTTCCATCCATTGACTCCCTCTACCATTTTCAATGCCGCAGAAAGGCAGCCAATATCATCAAAAACCCCTCTCATCAGTTTATAATGTATTCCAACTTCTTCCGTCAGGCAGAAGATACAAAAAAAAAACTTAAACAAACACACCAACAGGTTCATGAACAGCTTCTTCCCTGCTGTTATTAGGCTTCTGAAAGGACCTCTCAAATTTCAAGTCTAAAGTTGATCTTGCTTTTTGTACACCTTTGCAGCCATACGTTTGTATTCCTTGCTTTGTTCAATCGCCCTATGATGTTTGTGTCTTTGTACGGAGTGATCTGTTGTGCTGCACACAAAACAAAGCTTTTCACTGAACTTAGGTACATGTGATAATAACTTGAATCAAATCACTCACTTTCTCTGGGGTATTACTGCCCAGTATTTAATAAACTTTCACTTTCTCTGGTGTACATCGCTGCCCAGTATATAATAAACATGCCCCATCTCCGGGGTATCACCGTCCAGTAAACACTATACATTCTCTCTCTCTGAGATATATGTGTACAGTACATAACGGACATTCCCAATCTATGGAGTATCGCTGTCAGGACATGTTAAACTTCATGCTCTTTCGGGTAATGCTGCCCAGTATTTAGTCAACACACACTCTCCCTCGGGAACGGGTGTACAGTATGTAATAAACATTCACACTCTCCCTGGGGTACAGTATATAATGAACATTCACACTCTCCCTGGGGTACAGGTGCACAGTATATAATGAACATTCACACTCTCTCTGGGGTACAAGTATACGGTTTCGCTCGGGTTGTACTCACAGTCCTGGCCCGGAGGAGTCCGCCGCCATATTATTCCCGGCTTGACGTCATCCACCACGCGCATGAACAACGAGGCGGCGGCGGGACAAGATCAACCCTTGTCTCCGGCTGGGAGGTCTGAGCGGCCATCTTGACGAAGAATTAGGAGGACCGTAATGGTATCGTGGGCCCAGTTTACATGTAATGCTGTGGTAATGTGTCACTTTATCACCCGGTGAACGGAGTCAATCATAACAAGGGGACAGCAAATTGTTTATCGAGATTCGTTCCCAAATGGTAGCTTTGCTCCAGTCACAGAATCATAGAAATGTTTCAGCGAAAAAGGAGTCAATTCGGCCCAAGATACCTGCGTGGGTCTTCAAATGAACATTTTGCCTCCTGCCATTTTCTTTTTCTCTCTTTAATCGTGCAATATTTTCATGGGAAAAAATCGTTCAATGGCCCCTTGAATACCTAAATTCAACCTGCCTCCACCACACTTACAGGCAGTGCATTCCTGACCCCAACTATTCGTTACCTTTTCTGAGGAAGGGTCATCGGACTCGAAAAGTTAACTCTGATTTCTCTCCTGAGATGCTGCCAGACGTGCTGGGCATTTCCAGCAAGTTCTGTACTAAACAAAAACAGAAAGAACTGCGGATGCTGTAAATTAGGAACAAAAACGGAAGTTTTCTGTTTCTGAGGAAGGGTCCCCGCACCCGAAAAGTTAACTTCGATTTTTTTTCTTCACAGATGCTGCCAGACCCGCTGAGCTTTTCCAGCAACTTCTGTTTTTGTTCCAGCAAGTTCTGATTTCTAGCATCTGCAGTTTTTTTGCTTTTTACTTGTTATCTTTCCTCACTTCACCCTTGTTTTTCTTTCGAAATCCCTTTAAATCTATGCCCTCTCCTCGTACCATTAAAAGTGAAACACAGTTTGTCCCTACTCTATCCACGACCCATGATTTTGAAAACCTCTATCAGCTCTTTTAGCTGAAAACAAAAAGTGCTGGAAATCACAACAGGTCAGGCAGAAACCATGGAGAGAGAGCAAGCTAATGTTTCAGGTTGAGATGACACTTCATCAGAGTTGACGTGAAATGTGGAGGGGGCAGCATTTATGCAACAGTTAGCGGGGTGTGTGGTTGGAGTGCTGGGAGAGAAAGGATCTTGATAGCTCAGATTAAGTGATCAGAATGTGAGAATGGCAGAACAATGTGTGTCTAACTGCCAAACTGGAAAGAACAGACAGTATCAGTGGGGCGGGGGAAGGGGAGAGATGACATTTAACAACTAGGCTAAAAGAAAGAGAATGGGTTTTTTTCTTCAAGTAACTCAGACCATTGAATATAGGATTTGGGACATCATGTTGACGTTGTACAGACGCTGACTGATCCAGTGAGGATATCTCAGATTTTATGTATACTTGAGAATTACAGCAACTGCAAATTTTTCAGCCAGTTCGCCCTATAATTTTTTTCTCTTCAAATATTTATCCAATTCCCGTTCTGAAAGTTGCTCTGCAATCTGTTTCCACTTCCCTTTTAGATAGCACATTCCAGATAACGATTCATTGCATAAAGAAGGATTTCCCATTACTGCCTCTGATTCTTTTGTCACTTGGCTTAAATCAGTATCCTATTTAGGGGATCCTTTTGACAACGGAAAAATGTTTTTTCCTTATTTATCCATTCCATAATCATTTTGAAAAACTTTATCAGATGTTCTTTCATCCTCTGCTCTATGGCGAACAACAGGAACTTCTCCAATCTCTACACATATCTAAAGCTCCTCATTTCTAGTAACGTTCTAGTAAATGTCTCCCCTCCTTAAGCCCTTGTCATCCATTCTATTTTGCTCAGAATTTATCACAGTAGTTCAAGTTAGGCCTAACCAAAATTTTACAATGGTTCACCATTTGTTATTTCCAAAGGAAAAATAGCATAAATATCAAGGCAGCAATCACTTTTATTGCTAATCCATCTTCCAAGTTCTTGTAAGATCTGGCTCCAGGACACTGATACAACTTCCCTGCAGAAATTTGTAATCTTTGCATTGAGATCTCTTTCAACCTAGTTCGGTACAGTTGTTCATGTCTATACACGAAAGTGTCAGGATAAACAATGTCTTACCTTAGTTATTGATATGGGCTAAAAGATTTGGACCTCTATACTTTAGAGAATTATAGACTTGGGGTAATCAGATTGAAGTTTACTAGGTGATGAAGGGAATCAATAATGTTTGGAGTGACAGCTTATTCTCATTAAATACGTTCAGGAGATGAAGAGGTGACAACTTTAAGTTGTACTAAGTGGAGATTTTAGTTTTGCTGTCAGGGATTGGTTCCATTCGCAGAAATTAATGAACCCCTGGATCAAACAGCTGTCTCATATGGTAGGCACTTACTGGCTTTGATTGACAGCTGAGCCTTTTTCTGATTGATGTGGAAAGCACCTTGCAACAGGGCAAAACAATTTCCTGGACTAGTTTCCATCTTTTCAATGGGTCAAAGAAGAATTTACTGGATAATTTCAGCTATGGCTTAGTTTTCACCTCCGATTCAGACAGACGAAGGATTTGAATCTCATTCCAAAGATTTAAGCACAAAATCGAGGTGAACACTCCCCGTGCAATACTGAGAGAATACTGCACGGTCAGAGGTGTTGTCTCTTATGCAGAGTATTAAATGGAGGACCTTTCTGTTCTCTCAGGTGCTTGTAGGAAACTAAATTAATTTCTAACATGTATAACTAAGCTAAACCAAACTGGAAAAAGTTGACAAACAGCTTTGATAAAGCAGACACAGCTGTAAAAGTTGATGACTACTCAAACACACTCCTGAATATAAGCCTGTAATTCCTGAAAACAAATAATTACCCTGAAAGTATAGTGAGACAGGAGCCTGAAATCTAAGCTGCCCAAAGATCCAATGTCCATACTTGTGTTAAAAGAAAAACAATTTCAAAAGTCTGAAGGAGAACGAAAGTTCACGTATGTTGAAGGTGCAATATTTATTTTCTGCAGGATTTGAGAATATTTTCCCATGATAATATTGATCTTAGATACTTGAATTTACTCAACTGTTATAAAGTCTCCTCAGGACAAATTTCTTGGAGTTTTGTTTTTGTGGTTTGATCAACTTTCTCATGAGATTGAGTAAATTAGGCAGAAGTCAGCTGTTGTGTGTTTGCAAGAAGAAGTAACCCCAATGGATTAATTTTAGTTCCATATTTTCTCATGGCTTTCTGATTGTCAATTTAACCTGCTGTGACAATCCATTACAGGCAGAATCGTGATCCCAAGATCACAATTTCCAGCAGCTGGACCAGGAACAACATTTGTTACACTTTGTTTTAAAATATCTATCCAGATCTCCTGATGGTGTTGACGCAATCATTAAGAATTGGTAACTGGCAACGTGGGTTTCTAGTATATTGTTCAGACATCTCTTAAGTGATAAATAATGGATGATATAGCGCTAAGTAATTTATTTGGTGAAAACATGATTCCTTTTGACAATTTACTAAGTGAATTTCGATCCTCATATTGTTTCACCATCACAGGTGATGCCATTATTGATCAATGCATTGAGTATAGGAATTGGGAGGTCACATTACAGCTGTACAGGACATTGGTTAGTACACTTCTAGAATACTGCATTCAATTCTGATCTCCCTGCTATAGGAAAGATGTTGTGAACTTGAAAGGATTCAGAAAAGATTTACAAGGTTGTTGCCCAGGGTTGGAGGGTTTAAGCTATAGGAAGAGCTTGAATATGCTGGGGTTATTTTCCCTGGAGCTTAGGAGGCTGACCATGTAGAGGTTTATAAAATCATGAGTGGCATGGATAGGGTGAATAGTCAAGGTCTTTTCCCCAGGGTCGAGGAATCCACAACTAGAGGGCATAGTTTTAAGGGGAGAGGGGAAGGATTTAAAAGGGACGTAAGGGGTAACTTTTTCACGCAGAGAGTGGTGCATGTATGGATTGCGCTGCCAGAGGAGGTGGTGTAGGCTGGTACAATTACAGAATTTAAAAGGCATCTGGATAGATACATGAATAGGAAGGGTTTGGAGGGATATGGGCAAAATGCTGACAAATGAGACCAGATTAATTTAGGATACCTGGTCAACATGGATGCGTTGGACCGAAAGGCCTGTTTCAGTACTGTACATCTCTATGACACTGAGATTTTGATTGATTGCAAGAAGGTTTCTGCTTATTTTCCTAACCAGTCTATTCGTGGGTGTTATGACATAGCTCTGGAACAGTTAGGACTTGAACCCAGGTCTCCTGGCTCAGAGTTTGGGGATACTACTGCACCATAAGAGCCCACTCTCAAAAGGTTTCTGCTCATTGTATCATAACATGCATCATCTGTCAGAGTTACACATATGAGTAAGGTTCCTGGTTGGTGATAATTCAATTGGTTTCAGCAGGGACACTAACAATTGGCTTTAAAAAGCAAATCAACCACTTGATTTTCAGAGGAAGCAACGGGTGAGGATAGGATGTATCAAAGGGTGAATGGCATGGTGAGATTGTACTCCAGCATGACTTAACATTTTCAAAGGCTCTGTTGGAATGGAGGCCAGCATGCATCAGCAATTTCAGGACTGCTAAGTAGAGCTATATTTTTGGCATGAGTTGGCAGCTTTACACGGCGGAGGGAGAAAATTGAAGTGATAAATTCACAAGTGGATGCAGCCCAATACTCTTTTTGAAAGCTTTCAGTGTCCAAATAAGAACACACATTCTCTCATTAGCTGTCAAGGGAGGGAACAGTACTAAGGGTGAGGATGGGTATCTTGCTTCCAAAGCTACACAATATTCTGATGAAAGGCCATCAATCTGAAATGATAACTTCATTTTAAAAAAACAAAGAACTGCAAATACTTGAAATCAGAAACAAAATCAGAAATTGCTGTAAAAACTCAGCAGGTCTGGCAGCTCCTGTGGAGAGAAAGCAGAGTTAACATTTTGGATGCAGTAACCCGCCTTGAGAACAGGAGAGATTGTTCTGAAGAAGGGTTACTGGACCTGAAATGTTAACTCTGCTTTCTCTCCACGGGTGCTGTCAGACCTGCTGAGTTTTTACACTTGTTTCAATTTTACAGCAGAATATTGCTATTCTGCAACTACTAATACAGTTCCCTAGCATTTATACCAACC